CCCTGCAGATCCATGCTTTGCGCAGGCCTCCAAAGGGGCCTCTCAGGCCTTTCAGGCGCCTCTCGGCGCCTCCCAAGCCTTTCCTTGCAAGGGGGCCTGCGCAAACCTTGCAGAAACCTTGCGGGGCTTGCGGCGCCTTCCAGCAACCTTTCAGAACCCAGACTCCCTTCGGGCCCCGAAGGTTTTGGAAAACAGCAGAGAGGAGTGACTTGATTTTTTGCCGTCTGCGGCCAGGCTTCCCTGAGCATACCTGGACAATCCTAACTACTAAAATAAACGCCGATACTCCAAAGTACAACTATTTCAGTCCTTGATCTGAAAATCAGCCGATGATTCAAAAAAAGGGCGATCTCGCTAAAGTCAAGGGGCTGTTGGGGTCATGGGGGATCTCAGGAAGGGACTTCACGGGCTCTTCTTGTTAGGGGTAAAGGATCATGGTTGGGGAGGCTTCTATATTCGGATCGCAGCTTCAGACTATAGAGTTGTGACCTGGGGGCCCAGCTTATGAGTTTAACATAGCAGGCTCACAAACTATTGAGGTCAAGCGTCATGCATGGGGGTTCTCGAAAACCCTGAGGCCTCTAAGGATGGCACCTTACATATAGCCTTGCATGCTTTGGGGCTGTTTATGGGACATGTCCTACATCAGGCTCTACATAGCTCCCATCTTGTAAGTACAGAGACGCCAAGCCACATGCGGCAACCCAGTACCTGCCGCCAAACAATTAGGTAGTAAACCCCATCAGGAAATACTTTGCCCAACATCTTCAGGATTTTAGACTTGTACATTTCGGTACTCAAGTTTACTAAGAACAACACATCGAGAACAAACATTCCCCTACCTTAGCCCCGGAATGGTTCAACGTGAAACTACCCAAGCCCAACCCACTATCTCAACCTGAGCCTCTGGGTTTTCCTGATGGCTTCTTCGATGCATCTCCGCCGTCATCGGCCAACTGAAAAGCCTGGAGCCTACCGCTTCCGTTTCCTCGAACGGCCTTCTTTGTAGCGCTTGTAAAGAAACTTTGATTTCATCAAGAACCGCTCAATGCAGTTACGGCAAACCTGGGTTTGATGGACTCGACGCGCAAGTCTACTTACACGACCAACACAGTCTTCATTGCCTTCACAATTCCAGATGTAGGGATTGGGGACCCACGTAACAATAGGATCATCCAACCACGTCTTCTGCTCGAAGAGTCCATGAGCTACCAAATGTAGCTTCGGCTTCAGCGCGAAGCCGCAGAAGTTCAGCTTATGAAGGCAGTCATAGGCCAACTCGTTGTAGAGCTCTACAAAGCGGCGCCCTTCCTTGTAGATAGCTCGAGCGCAAGACTTGCGCATGAAAATACCATGACGGTACATAGCTTTTGTCCATGCATTGGCTGATCGGGATGCTTGGTTCAGCTTTTCCAGGGTGGCCACGTGGCCGAGCTCAAGTGGGTTCATCAAGCAAGCGGCAGTCATCACGACCAACCATTCCACTAGAAGTGTTGCATCTGAGCCTTTACAACTCATCCAGGGATATGATCTGCGCTTCGGCGCGTTGAAGTTGTCCGTGGTGAAGCTGCGTAGCGCTGCAGGTCGATGAACTGCCATCGTGTAAAGCTTGAAGCGCATGTAGGCTCGATTGAGCAGATGATTTCTAGAATTTCTTCCGCCCTCGTCATGGAAGTACTTCATCTCAGCAAGAAGGAGAATCGAAGAAGCGATGAAGTCACGGAAAACCCCCAGCTTCGTATTGTGGAAGGGGTCCCTTCGCAAGACCTTCTCCGGGGCTTTATCTTCGAATGGTATGCAGCTAAACACTGGGCTCGTCTCCCACGGGCGATTCTTGTAGATGGAGTTTCGCCAACAAGGAATTTCGTTCACATCTTCGAACGGCTCCGATAAGCTCCCCGCTTCGCACTCATGGCACATGAGTGCATCAAAAGCCAAACGATTGTAACACCTGTTGAGGTTGGCCGTTTTCGCATACCACATCAAGTCCCCCTTCCACCCTATCAGCGCTGCGTGCCACCACCTGCCCCTGGCATATACCCCTTCGAAGAATAGCTGCCTCAGCTCCTGACAGATCCTGGCAAGAAGCTGCTCAAGCAACTGGGAATCCTTGTACAAGGCATGAGGTAGAAGAAACACAAGCATCTTGTTCAAAAAGCAATGGCCCTTGGTGTTCAAATCCATAAACGCTGTCAGCCCTCTCTCTTGCGAGAACTCGTTCCCCGTGCAAGCGGCATGAAGATTCAGTTCACCGTGTTTACAGCATTTGCAATCATCGTGATGAAAACCTGTTTCGATATTGATGGCAGCGCCAAGGCCAAAGGGGGTCTCCACGGATAGCAAGCAAGTGTTCCCCTTGCGGACACCACGACCCTCATCCCCGTGCACTGTCAGAGGAAGCACTGTAGAGAGGCTATCAGCATGCTCCTTGAACACATGATGTTCTGGATGTGTTTGACGATACGCGCCCCAGAAAGAAGATAGGAGCTTCTGTCCCTGCACAGCATCCAGCCCACCAAACAACAGTTCAGGTGCTCGCTCCAGTAGAAATGGTATGTACTTCAGTGGGGAGAGGTATGGGGTGTCCTTTGTAATGCCGTTGTGCACAAACTCAATATGCGAGAGAGGGACTTTCCAAGTGAGGCCCCAGCGACGTATAAAATTTCTGGCATCCCTGGAAGCATTCGCTGCACCACTGGTGGGAATTTTGCTGCCAAGGCCAGGAGCGTCTTTCTTGCAACCCCTCGCCAATGCATTCAAAGCGGAGGCTGGCACCTAGGATGACCACAAAGTATTTGTGCGGGATTGCCGAGGTTCAGTTACGGCTTTGCAGGATTCAAGTGAAGCTTAATTAAGTTCGGCATAGGCTAGCTGGGCCTCAATTTTGGTGGGGTTTCAGCATAGTAGAGGCTAGCTGAGACATTCAACTGGCCAGGGCCTTCCTTGCCATCAAGAATATTTTGGGGACCAGGGAAACTATAGGGACCAAGAAAAATTTGGGGATACTATACCTATAGCAGGCCTAGGCAGACAATCCAAGGAACGCAATCAGCAAAAGCTTCCGCGTAAGCTTCTGCAAATTCACCTGGCTGCTCCCGGCCTGGCATAAATCAAATGAGTTTTTGGGTGGACTCAGAATTTCGTGAAGCACACTCTCATCCCCCGCTGCATGTACAATTTTCCTCCAAAGCCCCATGGAGATCTCCATCTTGCACTGCGCAGTTAGCGCGCAAACTGCCATTAGACCCTGCCCTTCCTGGTTGAAAAGCCCAACCCTAAACCCTATAAACCCTAATCCTTATTATAAGCCCTTAAACCCTAACCCTAGACTCCAAACCCTAAACCCTAAACCCTAAACCCTAAAGCTTAAACAAGGTAGGGCAGGGACCTACGGCTTCAGCTTTTGCTGCACGCACTTTTTCGTAAGTGCGGAGAGCAAAGGAAGCTTAAGACTAGGAACTAGCGACCCTTCTTGCTTTTAGCAGGCGGGGAGGCTTGCTCCTTCTTGACGACGCAGCTTGCTTTGGCTTTCGCTTTGGCCTTGGCCTTGGTTTTGGGCCTGACAGCACGCGTTCTTGGCGCACCACTGCTGGCCTCCTTGGGCAAGAAAGGCCTCAGAACACGATTTGCAATTTTGGAAGTTTTATGTGCACTGCATTTGCAAGTACTTCTGAGTGACGAACTTCATGCGCGTCTCCAAAGACAGAGAATTCGTAGCCCTTAAATGATACAAAAATTTCTCCTTCAGGACGGCTTCTTATGGACAAATTTGAGGCTGTGACACGGCAATGACGTCGTCAATCCGCTTGACAATGGCTTGCTCCTGCCTTAGATTCCAGCAGGCAAAATCCCGGCTGAGGGTGTAGGCCCCTTATAAGATGAGCGGGGGATTGCACAGTCGGAAGGGGTAAGAAGCTGAGTTGCGACCTTGGCAATCCAGATGCAACTTTGTCCCCGTAAAGATCACTCAAGTAGGTATGCCCCTGCGATAGCTTGTCAACGATGTCATCGCAATTGGCTTTAAACCTGGGCTTCCAATGTAGCTTGGCAAATAAGATCCCCGGCTATGGGAGAAATTGGATTCTGAGGTGTTCGCTTCGACTGCGTGTTCGTGGGCTTCTCGATATTTCCGAGGCGATCTTGCAACTTTTCCATGATGTTCAAGCGTTTCCCGACAGCAAGCCTTAGGAAGAACAAAGGATGACGGATCTAGTTTGTTTTAGAGGATTCAGGGATCTAAGACGTAGGAGTTAAGGGTTGAGGGTGAGATGTTTAGGGGGTAGGGATGGGCTTGGTTATTCACAGCTGGGGTTCAGCATCTTCGGCATCGCCCCAAGAAGGCTTCCATTGGGGTCATACTCGGGGATTCCGAGCTTCTTTCTGGTAGCCAAAGCCTGATCCTCTGCCTCATCTTCTTCCAGCATATCCGGCTTGTCAGTGTCACCTGCAATGTACGATGGGTCACCTTATCTTTTGGGAAATTCTTTGAAACTAATCGCTATTTGGCATCCCTTGGAAATTGCAGGCGGATTGTTGGCTGCACCTCAAACATTTCAACCCCCAACCATGTAAACCTTAAGCCCGAAACCTTACGTTGAAACCCGAAGACCGGAAAACCTAAAACTTCCTCAACCCAAATCCAAATATGGAAGCTCAACATTTTTCTTTGAAAGACAACAGTGGTATTGAACATAAATCCTGAACGAAATTATGATCCCTGTAGACTTGATGGCTAAACCAGTTCGTGCATGTGCCCAAGCAAACTCTTTGACCAGAGCCCAAACCCAAAGATCACATAGCGAAGAGTAGCCCTTGAGCTTTAGAGACCCGTGATAGAAAGATCGCTTCATGGCCCCAGTATACCCCAATAGATCCAAGCATCGGACCCAAAGGCACATCCTAAACCCTAAGCCCTATAGACCCAAGACCTTAAACCCCAAAACTTAAACCCCCAAACCCCTAACCCTGAAACCCTAAACCCTAAACCCTAAACCCTAAACCCCAAACCCCAGACCCCAAACCCCAAACCGCAAACCCTAAACCCTAAACCCTAAACCCTAAACTCTAAAACCTAGACGCGCGCCCTAAACCCTAAAGCCAATCCTTGCTCGGGATCACGGAAGGCGGAGCTTGTGGGCTCCATATCAAAGCCACTGACACCCTTCTCCTTCCATGAAACCTTCTTCTGGAAAGTGAGGGTCGACTTCTTCCTAAAACAGTGACACTTTTGGATCCCAAAAAGATTCAGCTGTCTCACGCGAGTTCGGATTGATGGCATGAGTCTGAGGGTCGGGCTTCATGGTGCCTTTCACGCTCCGCTCAACATAGTACAAGTTGATCTTCTCATAAGTATCCCTCCTGTTAAGGACGATTCGGTTTTGCCATTCTGAGCGAGCGAAACAAATGATGCAGCAGTCCTCATGAGGACTCGCGGGTTCTCTCGGCAGTGCTTCTTGATAGCAGCGATTCGCTGCCTTAGTCTGTGACACGCTGGGAACTGTTTTGAAATGAAAGTCTAATTTGCAAGCGAAACGCTCACTGAACCCCCACTCAATCATGGTTGCCACAGAAACATACTCGCCCTCCACAACGACCTCGGATTCCAAGATCTCGCTGCGCAGCACGTCCACTTCGGAGATAAAAGTTTCCTCAGACAGCCCAAGGTAGGGCGGAAACGCGTGCGACAAGAAAACTGTTTACAACCGCAAAAATCAATGCACCAAGGCTCCGGATCAAAGCCGCACGTAGCGAATATGTGCTCTAACATCTTCCGGCGCGAGCCTTTGGCATGCCATTCGTTATACACTTCGTCCGACACTTTTCTGGTTCCGTTGGCCCTCGGCTTGAAAATTCTCTGGGCACGCATGCGCATGGCTTGCGGGGAAATCTGGAGTTCTCCGAGCACAGGCTTCTCAGCCGTGGTATCATCTCTGGAGGGGATGGGCGAGTTGCGCTCGTCCTCGTCCGAGATTGCGTTTTTTCTCGGACTGAGGGTGTGCTTCCTCTTGGCTGGAGTCTTGTGCGGTGTCTCGTCGTATCCGGGGCTTGGGCTGTAGTGTTCTGTGGGAACACTAGGGCGGGTGCGCAGGGGCGTGGCCACTTCCATCTTCCAAGAAGATGCCGGAATCGGCTTTCCGCTCAAAGCAAAGTCTGAACCAGCCGGGATGTCTATACCATCACAATCGGATGATGACTCTAGTTGCGTCTCATCTTGGGGAGGCTCTAAGGCTTCACACACATTTGCCCTGGAAGGCTCCACGGCTTGGGTCGCTTCCACGACTTGGGTCGGGTCCATAGACGGAGGCGAGACGGCAACCGCATCTGCTGCCTCCAGGACCTGCGCAGCTTTGAGGGGAATCCTGCTTCGGGTCAAATCCTTGGGCCCAAGTACTAGGAAAGCAGCGCCCAACGCTGCTTCCAAGTTCCCGTGACCTTTAGAATGACCAATGCTCAGGGTTTAGGGGTCAGGTTTTAGGGCTAAGGTTTCCTCAGCATGACTCGGGACTGTCTCCAAGAGCTTGCAGGGTTGTCAGTTCAGGATGGCGCTTCAGGCACGGAGTTTTTACGCAACTTTGGAGCTTCAGGCTAACCACACAGAAAGCCATTGCAATAGGACGAGCGAAACCAGCACCTAAACCTAAGGCCCTAAGCACCCTAGAGCCCCAGACCCTAAACCGTAGACGTATAAACCCTGAACCCAGGTTTCAGACAAGTCTTAAAGAAGAGGGCTGAGCAAATTGTTCACTAGTCTTTTCTAGGAGGCCCCAGATTACGCTAAGCATTCTGAAGCTGAGCAAAACGTAGTTATGTTTAACTGCACGAGGCCTTGAGTTGCTGCATGAGCTCTTCATCCGATAGGTTGGTCACATTCCCCAGCTGCAACGTCATGTCTTGAACGAGCTGCAACCCCTCTTTTAGAGTAGAGGTCGACCAGGCTTTCGTAAGAAGCGCGCCAGGTTCCATCAGCAAAAAGGGGCTAGACGACAACCCTATAAAACATCCTTGAAAGATCATACAGGGTCACCACATAGCATCACCTGCCTGCCTGCCCAGGAGTTCCTGCAAACCCTGAGGCATAAACCCAACCCCTAAACCCCCAAACCTGAAACCTGGCTACTGCGATGTGGCAAGATGACACGAGATTCACTTTCTTTCGCTTCCCAGGCTAGTCTCGGGTCGCCCTCTGGCTGTTTTAATTTTCTTTGAATTACAGAGCTGGTATCTCAACCCCAAACAGTGTCTAACAGGTGCCCAAGAAGGTTTTGAAGCCTTGCAAAATCTAGGGTTTTGGGGATAACGGGAAATAACGCCTTTTTAACGGGAAATAACGCCTTTTTAACGGCAATTAACGCCGTCAACTTTTTGCATAAAACGCAGTTTAGGGGCCGTAGAGGCGCAAAACCCGCTTCAAAGGCGTTATCTCAATCCCTGGGCACCCTCTCCAAAAAGGCTTCGAGTCCCTTTGGGACAGCTAACTCCGTAGATCCTACAAGGTACCCCAAAGGCTCTCCAAGCACGGCTTCCGGCCATGAGGACCACGGCTGGGAGAGAAGGAGCTCGAAGAGGTCGCTGTCCATGTCCACCTGCGCAGTACGTTTTCCAGGGTTTAGGTTTAGGGTTTAGGGTTTAGGGTTTGGGGTTTAGGGTCTGGGGTTTAGAGTTTAGGGCTTGGGGTTTGGGGTTTGGGTTGGGGTTGTTCGGTATCTTTGCTATAGGCTGGTAAACTTTCAGGGTAGTATGAACCGATCTACGGGGCCAAGTATACAATAATGCTGCAGCCCAGTACTATCCAAGTTTTGAGGCAAAGTTTAGGGGGTTTATTTCGGGTTGGGGCTGAGGCTGACTGTTTATGGTTTGGGGCGGATTTCCCGGGTTCATTCTAGATGGGTTGGCCGAGCAATTGTGAAAGGAGGCCTCTGTAAGTTTTCATAAAGGGTCTGGTACAAGATCATGTGAGCACAAATGTTGAAGAGTATGTAACATAATAAGAAAATACCAGTAGTAATGTTTCCTACAACGTACATGGGCTTTCTAACCTTGAGCGCTGCACAAAAGCAGAAAAGGTTGCGACCTATGTGGCTAATGTAGTTGCTCGAGGCTTCTTAGGGCACGGCAATTGGGCAATGTAGAACCTTGGGATTTCAAGAACCAAGTCTACACTACCTCTAGCCCGGAACCCCGTACATTAGCACTTACCTTTGGTTCCCTCAGCCACCGCTTACACAGCCCCTCGAAGATACAAAACGAACCCCAAACCTTGGAGCCCTGAAGAAAACCTACAGCATCTACTTATCAATCGTTCAGAAACCTCCAAGACCTAGAACACATTAAGAAGTCAGCCCTCTTTGCTTCATAGAAAAAGTACAGATTTTGGAGGTCATGCTTAATACCGTTGTCAGCCAGGGCTGTTACCCATTATTTGACCCTAATGTTTGTAAGCGTTACTAAATGGAGCTGGCTAGGAGAACAATTTGCTTGGCCTCTGTGTTGATCGCTCGGCTTGCCTGCTGGAGATCTGGCAGCATAGTGACAATCGCGGCTGCGAATCTCGCGGGATAGGTCCTGGGCAAGGTCGATTTGTGGTTTAGGATTTAGGGTTGAGGGTTTGGGCTTTAGGGTTCTGAAGTTTGAGGGAACAGAACAATCACAGGTGCTGTAGAAGCCAGTGCAAGCAAGAGTCTGCGTGCTTTTTAACTCTTTGGTACGCCCCTTGTACCGCTTTTTTTGGTTACGATCAAAGTAAACATCTGCCGTACGAATTCGGCATCTTGTTTTGGATCTGTTCAGCTTGCCACGATAAAATCGTTCGATCTTGTCCGAGTTGGCGATGATCGCCGTGCGCTTGTATGTAGCGTGACCCCAGTGCTTCATCCAGAACTGGACGCGAAAGCACTTGGCTGCAAACACAACAGCAAAGAAAGACTGTCCTTCAGCCTACGCATGAGCCGATGCATAATGCAGTCAGAGTACGGGTTGTCCTGCTGAACTCAACATTGCCAAGGCCCGGCGTAGGTCCGGAAACATAAACATGAGCGTGCTCGCAGGATTTTCTATCAGGTAGACGCCCCCCATACAGGCAATGAGGAGGATTAATAAACTGGTCCTGCGGGTTGCAAGCGCAAAGAGGTTTTGTCAGGAAGCGCTTGATGGAAGTACAAAAGCTCAGAACACTGCATAGGTCCTTGAAACCATCAAATTCCCAGAGCGTACTGCTTTGAACTCCGTGCAGCCAGGAACTGTAAGAACACCTCTTTTTGTTGACCCCTGGCTAACTGACACCCATGAAGAGCAAACAGTGCCGAGGCAAGCCAACAGCTTGCCGTATTTGCCTTGAAGGCAGAGAACACAGGCCAGCCTGGGCGCTGAATGGGGAGCTAGAAGGGGCCACTTGAGCTTGCAGCGTGGCAAGGTTATGTATAGCCAGGGCGCAAGAAACCTGAATCTGAGGTGATGTCCATGACTGATTGGGGTTTCTTCCAGATAGATTTACGCTTGGGCCGCGCAAAGTTGATGTCATAGGCGGCGCATTTGAAACCTCTCATCGCCGCCAGTTTGGATATTCGTCCTTCGCCAGCGAAAAGATCTAGAACATCGTACTGCTCAGTACCCTCCAACTCCACATAATTCAGCCATGAGCAGAAGAGCAGAAGAAGGATGAAGTCCTTAGATCATGTCTACTTGTCGGTATTAGGTCCGGACAAAATTTGGCATGAAGGGCTGATTCAGGGATCCAAGTTGCGAATGGGGCATTCACGGCAACGAGCCGCCGGAGCACAACGTGAAACTCTGCAAGGTTCATTGCTTTCAAGTAGGGTGCTAGGATCCAGGGAGGTTGCGTTGCAGGTTTGCTCACACTTCGATCCTAAACCCTAGAACCCTAGACCCTAACCCTTAGACGCCTAAATCCTAGACCCCTAAACTAAACCCTGGACCTTTGAAACCCTATAGACCCGTAAACCCTAGACCCATAAATCCTCAACCCTGTTTCTGGATGAAAGTTCCTGTTTTTCTTAAGCAAGAAGGGAGCCCAAAGCTGAGGCCCACGAAAACACACAGGTCAGTACTCTCCACGAGCGCTAGCCAGCTGCCTAAACAAGCCGGGCGAACCTGAATCTCCACGAGCTCCTGGGAGGAAATAGCCGCGGGCGGCCAATTGCAGCATTGACCTGCCGCGGGGAGTGGAGGAAGGGCTACTGCGTGTAATCAACCATTCCAGCTCCTACGAAGGTCACCCCAAATTGAGCCTCTAAACTTCTAAACCCCAAAGCCCTAAGCCCTTAGCCTTACCCCATGAAATGGTCTAATAGCTTCATTCTCGGGGTTGTATTTTAAGTTCTTCTGGATCTGGGAAGCAAGAAGTCGCGACTTTTGTTTCTGGTTTCTGCTGGCGCCGCAGAAGATCGAACGTGATGCCTGAACTTGGATTGTAACGCTAGATGCCCGGCCGAAAGCAGGAGGTACAGTCTTTCCTCAGGTTGCTAGCATGATTCCGGGGGCCTGCATGCTAGTTGGTCCCCATGCAGTGTACCCAAAATCCTGACTGGTCGGCCCAACATTTTAAAAGCACAGTAATCCAAAACCCCATGCCGGGATCCCATGTAGGCACACACAATGTGTGTGTGCCGCCCAGCACTCATTTTCTCTTAAAATGATCTAATCAGCGCCGTGGAGGGCAGTCGAGCAGGCCTCCGCCTTGGTTTAGGGTTTAGGGTTTATAGGGTTTATAGGGTTCATAAAGTTCTGGGTTTAAGGTTTAGGGTTTACTTGATGTATGGGCAAGGGGCTCTGCAAGAATGCCTCTGCTTTCTGGCAGCAGATGTTGCTCATCTCCTTGGGGTCGTCGATGCTCTTTAAGTGCGGGAATGTTGCTGCCCAGAAATCTCCCTTTGGGGATCAAAAGGTTGTCTCAAAAACAAGCTACTTGCTGCGCGAAGTTTCTAACGAAAACTCAAAAACTTCTGCAAACGCCTGCCTCACGGTAGGATGGGAACGCAATGTTGGGGGTGATCATCTCAAAGTATGTGTCCCTCATCGCCAAAAAGCGAGCCTTGGCCGGGTCATTGTCAGGGCAACGGCGTCCAGCAAACGTAGCTCGCTTGACATTCTTGCTGTCCGACTCGCCCTGCTTTCCCTTGACCTTCTTGCCATCGCCTGCCTGCTGGGCAACAGCCTTCCGCTTGCTAGCCTTGCCATCGCCATTGCCATCCTGGGCCTTCTTGCCGTGCTGGGTGTGCTTTGCAGAGGGCCTCTTCTTCACTTTCAAAGGCTCCTCCTCGGACTCGATCTCCAACACCTCCGTGGGCTTCTTCGCACGGCCACGGCCACAGCCACGGCCACGGCCAAGCTGTCGTCCACGCCCTGCTCCCGCTGAGGGCTTCGAAGATGAAGCCTTGGCACTGGGCTTCTTCTTAGCCCTTCTCAGAGCTAATCTCATCGTCCGCCGGCTTGCTGGCTGGAGCGTTGAGGGCTTCCCGCTGCTCGGCCCGCAACACAAGCGGGAGGCCCTTCTCGCCCTCAGCCTTAGCTTTGGTAATGATTTGAAGGAACTGTAGGAACCGTTCTCTAAGCAATGCGTTAAAAACAACGGTCATTATGGCAAGAGACTGGTTTCGGGGTAAGAGGCAGGTCCAGGTCAGGGCGGGGCTGGCTTGGTGGGATGAAAGGGGACTGCGCCTCAAGTCTGGCCGCAGTCTCGGGATCATAACTGGGGCTTCCAATCATTGTTCCGCGGGTCTCCTCCAAGGACTTCGGGCTTGAAGAAGCACTCCCTAACGACTGCTGCCCAGGGCTCTGGAGCTGCCACGGCTGCGTGTCCGCGTTGTCAGGACCTAGACTTCGAACTGCTTCCAATTTATTTCTTTTTTGCAAAGCGCTTAAATATTTTCAAGAAAAAATCACCCAGATTGAGCTTTACAGGGGTATCATCTAGAAGCAGGTTGAAAGTAAGCTGCGTCCCAACATGAAAAGATACCCCAGTAGTTTGCCAAATCACAAGCGTTTTAGTGCTCTAGTGCTCAGGGCCTACCCTTACTGTTGCTGAAAGGATCAAGGATTTTTTTGCACTTTGATGGGTCTAATTACGATACCCTTTGATCTATGTGGGGAAGGGACGGAAAAGAAACCAAAAGATCAAAAGAAGCCCTGGTACCTGAATTCATCACTCGAGTTTACTACTGTATAGTCAGTGGGCAGTTGCTTGACCCGCCGCTGCCCTTGGCCGACCGCTGCTCTGCAGCCTGCGTCTCTGCCAACTTCCGGCGAGCCAGCTCAGCCCTGCAGCAAGATGAATTTTCGTAACTTATAGAAGTACTTGAGTTTGACCATCCCTCAAACTGGCCTGACTACCGCCAAGGCTGCCACCCTCTGTTCATGCAACCGCCTCTCATCAAGGGTCAAGTGCTCATCAACGTACGTCTTCTTCGAGGGGCCTTGGAAAGGGGCGGCACGTCGGAGATTCTTCTTCTCCGCGAGCTGCTCTGAAAAAGTGGCAGAGCGATCCAAGCCACTGCTCCCTGCAGCAGACTCGTTGGACTCCACTGACCTTGTGTCCGGGCCATCAGCGCTCTTCTCCGTTGAAGTCTTCGTAGCTGGTGGCTCGGATTCATGCTGCTCCTCCACGAGAGCTGCATCCGTTGCCTCATCGCCAGTCGCCTTCTTCGCAGAGGGCAGGTCTATGAAGGGTGGCTGGGAATCCTCGCCATCATCGACTGGGTTCCCTGGAAGAACCTCATCATCCACCTCAGCTTCCTCCTCCTCCTTTCCTTCGTCCTCCTGGCACTGTGCGTCATGACCGTCAGCTGTGATTTCCCCCATGACTTCATAGCCATCATCCTCCAAGTCCACCAGCTCACCATCCTCAATGGCCAAAAGGGATTGGATGGCTGTCTCCTCCTCCGGAAGGGTCCACGCCACCCTCAAAGTCATGTAGAACTGATCCAAGCACTGATCCTTAGCTGGTAACAGTGGTATAGGGGTCAGGGGGCCAGCTAGGGAATCCTGCGTACCCTACACACCACTACCAAGCATCTCTGTTGACTGACCCGCTTGCGAACCGGCGGATGCCGTGGGAGAACAAGCGCTTCAGTCCCGCCCCATCGAGGTGGACAGCGATTCTGTCCTCTGTGAGGCCGAGCTTCATTCTCAACTCCGCAACCTAACGAACAGGCAGGGAAGCCTAACCTCAATCCTATGTTGCTGAAATTGTAGAAGTACATGACTTAAACTCCCCCCTGCTACTGAACCTGCCTCATCCCTCATGAAGTCAACCGGGACAGTTTTCGGGAAAGGGCAGTGGCGAGTCCACAGCTCAGCCAGAAGCGTCAAGGCTTGGCTGTTCAAACGCATCGCCGCTACCGAGGCGATGCCAGTTGCTCTCTGCGAGACCCACCGGGTCAGGATCTGGTCAGGCTTCTCCAAGATTCTCCTACGAATGGTTTCATCGCGTTCGAAAATCTTAGCAAGCTCTCCCTTGCCAGGCACCTGGATCCCTGCAACCTCAGCCATAATCCTTGACAAAGTTGAGCGCTACACACCCAGCTGCAAACCAAAAAGGCTCTGGGAATGACTTGACGCTGCCGTATGCTTGCCCACATGAGCAACAAATCAGACAGAGCTGTGTGAAAACAGATTTTTCAACAAAACTATAGCCATCTTATACTTTATGATGCCTACTGCCTACCCTACTACACAGGTGTTGAACGATCCCTTAAAGACCCAACCCTGGGAGGAGCGCGCCTCCACCTCTCGCTTTGTGAGCATGCTCATCACCATGCGTCTGTACCTGCAAGGTTTGGTGTTCGTTTTTAGATAGGAGAATCGGGCTTGGACGGTTGGGCAATTAAGGGATGAATGTTGAACAAAACTTTACAGCGCTGTCTCAAAGCTTTTGGACTGAAGCCTGTGGGCGCACGCTCCCGGAAAAAAAAGGTGCCATCCAGCGCACATGAGCGAACTGTGTGCTTCCGTGTCAGTGGATGTTCTGATTTCTGATTTGGAGGCATCCAACTCCGAATGTTCTCCTTGTCTAGAAAAGTTATGTTTGTTCTGTATCCCAGTGCTGCAAGTTGCAACTACCCACATGACCTGCATTCTTCGCTGAAGCGAAGACTGGAAGGAGCAGCGGCCTGTGAGTGATTTTGAGGAAGGTTTGAGTGGAAATCCTTTGGGGGTCTTAGAGGTGAGGTATTGAATCATGTCTTGGGTGCTTCTACGGGATGTTCGAAAACCTTGGACCCTTTCAATATAATTCGGAATGGCTTGCAAGAAGTGTCCTCATCTTCCATCTTTTTCATCATGCCTACATACTGTTCTTCCTAAAATCGCCGATAAGCAGAAATTTAGGGCTCCGCTCCAGAAAACCGCTTTTTCTGGAAAAGACTTAAATTTCAGGCGATACGATTCTCAAGGTATGTCAGGTGTGCAAGGAGCAAG